AGTTTTCAGTTTTTTAAAAACGCATACGTCTATTTTCCTGTAGATGAGTTACATCGAGTCCAATTTAAAATCTACTTGAATCATCAAAAAGACCATATATCAATACAAGCGGAGATTTTTTCCAAGTTTCAAAATAATATTTTTAAATGCATAAAGGATGATCGCAAAAATTACCTAATTCTTTCAATTCATTACGTATCCTTTCGACGCTGTAACTGAGTTATTTCTAATTCCAATTGAAAATTCTTTCAAAATAAAAGACGTAAATACATCAAGGATGAACATAAAAATTACCTTTTTCTTTCAATATCATTAAAAAATACTTCTCTTTTAAGCGCTGTAACTATTTCAAATGCAATTGAAAAATAGTTTTTAATATCAAAAAGATCACATTTTAGTGCATGTAAGGCCTTTTTCGGAGTTTAAAAATGATTGTTTTAAATGCACAAAGGATGATGGCATTAATTACCTGCTATAGAAAATCTAAAATATCTTTAACTTCCATTTTATTCTTACCGTGGGGGATGCAGACAGTTACAGCCGTTAAATCTCTGGAATAGGGGCGCTGTGGGGAACATCCTTCATGATTTTGGGAAGGGAATCCGATGGCGGCTGTAAATTATTTCAATATTTAGAAGAAGGGACAGCACCACATATGAAAGGATGTAGATTGAAATTAGAGAAAGTTAAAATACACGAAAGGATGAAGACGAGGTTGAACAGTAAAATTACGGAACATATATGAGAGGGTAGTAATAAGAATGGGGGGTATGAATCAGACAAAGAGACAATGCATAAGGGTTTGAAGGTATAAAACAAATAGTAAAAATAGCATTTATAAATTACTATGAATACAATTACGCATCAAACAAACATATACTATAAATAATTTTATTGCTAAACACTCACCGTAAGGGATGCAGCCCTTTGTTTTTCATCAATCAATGGGCACTATCCAGCATGACTTCGGGAAGAAAAACCGATGGCAGCTGCAACAAAACATATTTATTTAATATTGCGAAGACGTACGAAGAAAGTAAACCTTAATGAAAACTGCTTTATTAGTTGTTGAGAAGCAACAGATAATAACTTACAAGTTCAAATTAACTTAAGAATTTCAATCAACCACGAAATAATTAAAAGAAAACACTCACCTTCATGGATGCAGCAGATGATTGGTTATCTGACCCGAGAAGAAGAACCCCTCGAAAGACTTAGCACTGCTACAAAATCAAATATTATTATTGCAAACCAATTCTTACGAAAATTACTTACAGACTCAAATTATTAAATGATATTTATTTTAAATTCCATTTAAAATTACTTGCAAGGGAAGAAAAAGTAGGGAAAGAGCGAAT